CCTCTCTATAAATATTTGTTTAGCATCTGTGTTCTGCGCAGTAGGCTAGATCCAGAATTCCTAAGACCTTGGCACTGAAGCAAATTGTCGTCTTTTTATACAGTTAGGGGCATAGGAGATCCTTTACTGTGTCTAGGACTTGTAATGTCCTCAAGTATGGCTGAGGATCACCTGCATATTTCAATCACCTGTGGTGCTTGGTGAACATTTAGCTTCCTAGATTCCAGCCCAGACATTCTGAATCACTGGGAGTGGGCCCAAAAACCTTCACTTAAAGTGAAAACCACCAGTCCAGATACTTTGGGATTCTAGTCCAACTCTCTTAAGTTTGTAGATGAGGGAACAGACCTAGAGAAATTTAATAACTTACCCAAAGGCACAATAAGTGTTAGAAGGCCAGGAAAGTTTGGTATTGTTTCCTCCAAAGTCACAGAGCTATTTAGTGCTGTAAGTGATCTCCTGACTTCACTAAGTCACATAGTGATTTTTGTTGGGCCTGACAGCTTCACTGTATATATATAAAATCATAACTGATCTATCATTGTTCTTAAAAAAATAACTAAAAGCATATATTGGTTATGTGCATGAGAAACATGGACTGTTTCTTCATCATTAGCTAGATGATTGATTTTGATTTTGAAATCATTGGGTGGCAAAAAACCCTGGTAGTCTAGGTAGAGGAAAAACACTTTCTCTTTTTTTCCCCCATCACGCTTGACCTTTACATTTTATGCTTTTGAAAAGGAGGTGTCTGATTTTATTTTTGAATGGTGGTAGTAGCTAGCATAGTGCTTTGCAAATAGGTGCTTGGTAAATTGTAGTATGAATAGTTTGTAGCATGAAATATGAACATAGGTAGTATGAAAAAACTCTTTTTTTCTTTGGATTCTATAAGGTACTATTAGGAGTGGTTTTATTTGCTTGGTACAGAATCTAATGCTTTATATACCAAGCCAGAGACCTTGAGTAATGAAGTTATTATATATTTTTAGTACTACATTGTTGTAGCTTGTATTCACAATATCTCTGAGGGACTAAAATATTCTAAAGTATTTTCTGAACTCTTAAGAGAGTGAATTAATTTTGGTGTGTATATTTTGTATTTTATTGTGTATAATATATTAATAGTGAATTGTAACCTTATATTAGTAAATGTAGTTATCTAATTTTACTTAAAATATTCTGAAATTTACTACTAAGTTTAACTATAAAATGCAGTAATTACTCAGTTTTCTGGATATTTTGGATATGATTTAATTGTAATATTTTAAAAAGTGGCATTTTAAAATCACTTATTCATTTCTAATAAGTTTATTAAATTTTGTAATTATTAGGGGTTTTTTCCATTAAATTTTTTTTTTTTTTTTTGCTTTTTTTGTAACCACAGGCTCAAAATCATAAATGTAATAGCTCTAAAAAGAGACCTTATCTATTATGTAGTGTAATTCTTTCATTTTTGATGTTGGGACACTGAAGTTAAGCGACTTCCCTAAGAGTGGAAGTTTTATGAGTGTTAAAATGCCCTTGAGAAAAAAACAGAATAACATTTATTGTATTTCTATGATGCTATGTGTGAAATGCTTTGAGAACTAGTGTCACACAAATATTATGTATTATGATTACTGCTGTGATAATACGTCCACTGAGTTTCCTTGTGATTTAATTGAAAATGTTTACTATTATTTAAAATCAGAAAGAAAAAATACATATGCTTGTCACTTGGCTTTTTCTGTTATTTTTTGTGGCTCAGATTTTACTCATTTTACTTTAAGTACATGGTACTAGAATAGATATGTTGTAGATTACCTAAAGTTCTTTCACTTTGCTAATCCAGTCCAGAGTGACACTTAATATACTGTAATTGCACAAAATATCCAGGATGACACTTCTATTTTGGGAGAGTTTGGTCGGCAGTTTTCTAAGAAAAAAATGATTAATGAATGAATAAGTGAATGTTCAGTATTATCAATGTAATCAATGTAGCTAATAGTAATGTTAACACATTTTGGTGTAATTTTTTTTTTTAATGCTCACTCGATGAGTGAGGATATTTTTTTCCCATTCATTATTAGAGAGAGTGGAAGGGAGGGGAAAGGGTTGGGAAGAGAGAGAAACATCAACATGAGAGAGACACGTCTGTTGGTTGCCTCCCACATACACCCCAATGGAGGCGGGGATCGAACCTGCAACCAAGGTATGTGCCCCTGACCGGGAATTGAACCTGTGGTTGATGCTCTAACCATTTAGCAACACCAGCTAGGGCTTTGATGTAATTTTTATAGTTACAAAGCTGTTTAACCTACATCATTTCAGTTGTTTCTCGTGAGAGCCTTGTGAGGTAGGTCCTCATTTGACAGATGGGTAAATGAGGCTGAGAGAAGTGACATGATTGTCCACTCTCCCCTGCTTGAAAAGATGGAACTGAAACTTTGACTCTAGATGCCATCCTGTTTCCACTGCCCAGCATAAATCATAACTTGGGGTAGTTTCATGGGGTATACATTTTGCTATTTAAAAGAAATTGTCAGTATTGGAAAACCGATGACAGATTCATCTTGTCCAGCCAGCCTAATTATTTAGTGCTGACTCCTCTTGAGAAGTCTGACTCATTTTGCTACTCAAAAAATACATAAAAGAGATGCAGATATCTTTTGGATAAAGGACTCAACATGGCTACTGGTGTGTGCTGCCTAAAATTATTTGAGTGTTTAAATGTTTAAAAGAGTAATGATTGTGGTCTTTAGAAGTATATTGAACTATATAAACTCAGAAGATATACTGTGTGACATGATACAACACAGTGTAGTGAAAAGTCTTGATTATTTCTTAGTGATAGGTTCTTTAGTTTTGATTGTACTTCTTAACTATGACTGGATTAGTCACTTGGATTTCTCTGAGCTTGATTCCCTTATCTGGAAAAAGGGTAAAGTGATACCTACTATCCTCTCTTTATAGGATTGTTATCAGACCTAAACATAATGATTGATGACGATGACGATGACGATAATTTAAAAAGCTAACAGCAATGTAGTGTGTACTACGTGGCAGGCACTGTTTTACATATTTTCAGATACTTTGTAGGTTCCCTAAAGTTCTTTCAGTGTGCTAGTCTAATCCATTTAAATGAATTACATATACTAATTCATTTAATTGTTATAACAATCCTGTGAGGTATAAGAATTATCAGTATCCCACTTTATGGATGAGAAAACTGAAGCACCGAGAGGTTAAGTAACGTCCTCAAGGTCACACAGGTGGTTGAACCATAATTTAGTACCAGGAAATCTGGCCCCAAAGGTAATATATATGGAGAATAATGTGTATGAGAACACTTTTGACATTTGTAAAAAGCAATGCTAATGTTATTAATACTTTAAAATATTTAAAAAGATATTTTCTTCATCTTTATAGAGATAGTGAGAAAAAACAAAAGTAAGTGAGAAGATAGTGTTTTTTTCTGTTTTATGATTTGTACTAACTAATCTGGTAAATAGAGAACAGTATTCAAAATTATGGAGGGACAAATTACTGAATCATGCCAATACTTTAGATTTTTAACTTCTTAACCTTTCTAGGCTAGAAAGAGAAAGAGACATGAATGCTCTTCTTTTCCTACTGAATGTTTTAACTTAATGTCTGTAAACAAAACAAAATACCTGTGTTACTTCACTTAGATGGTTTCAAGTTTGTGCAGAAAAGTTACATACTGATGGGAGTGACTGATTAATAGTAATAATTAGGGAAAAACAAAAATACCTATCTGATGGTTTGAAGAATGGCTCTGACTTTCTAATTTTAATAACAAATTTAGGTTTTCATGATGGGATGAGAAAATTACATGCAAGGTCATTTATCAAG